CTAATAAGGGATCGAATTCTAAACATTCTTGCAACCTTCTTTTTAATGTAATTTCCCACTTTACAATGTAAATTGTTAGTAAGCTTCTACGCGTTCCAAATTCAGCTTGATACAATTTTAGCGAGCTTTCCAAACTATCACATTATTCACTTAAATTTTTAAGCGGTGTTAAAGTATTTTTAATAATTGACAGGGTACTTGGCATGACGATAAGCTCATTTTCTAGGTACTCTTAACCGGGTGTAGGTGTGTGGAACTCGATTGTTGGGACGGCGACGATGGATCTCCGGTTATTTACCATGGCCACACGTTCACTACCAAGATACCGTTTCGTTCGGTCGTGGAGGCGATTGATAGAAGTGCTTTTGTCAGTTCTCCATACCCTGTAATCCTCTCTATTGAGAATCATTGCTCGCAAACTCAACAAGCACGGATGGCGCAAATATTTCAAGTACGCAATTTTTTATATTTCAAATACTTTACAATAAAAATTCACGTTATTTTTATTCTTTCTGTTACCCATTCGTTGTGTGTTTAAATGTCTAATTCATATCACTGTCAAGTATTTTATTTTGTGTTGCCCTCCGTGAAAATGAACCGTGCAAGATAAAGTTTTCTCGATTTTTCCAGTCAGTATTTGGGGAAAAACTCGTAACGAAATTCTTATTCGAGACGGACTTCAGTGACGATCCGCAGCTGCCGTCGCCTTCGCAGTTGCGATATCGAATATTGATCAAAAACAAGAAGCTGGTGGTGGATCCAGGCGGACCTTTAGCCCACGCTCCCCTGAGTCATCGAGGAAAAATGCTCATGTCCGATCGTGCATCATCTATGAAGCAGATGCGTACTGACGGGAGCGCGGCTTCCGTCGTTGAATATTTCAGCGAGGATGATGACGACGAGGAGGACGATGACGAGGATGACAATATCGATGGTAATTCACTTCTCGGCTTTAATTAAACAAAATCGATAAGCGTGCTATTTTCCTTAAAGAGTCATTTCATACTTTCAAAAGTCATCAACGATGGGAACTCGGAAGCTTTTAAGTTATTAACGCGATTCAAGGGAAAGTCGTAATTGCTCCTAAGTTTTAATTGCGTTTTGCTTATAGACGTTTATCTCCAATCCGAAGATACTCCGATTGAAATTTTTTATCAATCTCGGCGCGCGTTAAACGAATACAGATAGATAGATAGATATAACTGGAGAGAAGAGAAGTTTGATCAGTATCTACCGCGAAGTTAGAATTCCTCAGAGAGAAGAACACTGAGGCTGTTGCTCTTAATCTTTTTCAAGCTGTGGCTTAACCCAAATACGGAGACGTATTATTTCATTCCTTCTAATTGCTGCTCATCCTTCAGTTTATTGACGACAAACTTCAATTTATATTGAAAGCGATTGTTTCCTCTTGGGAATGATAAGAAACCATTTCTCGGTGCAATAAGATTTAGACTGTAATGGAGTTTAACATCGAATTAAATCTGATACACAAATAATGAAATTGAAATATTGAGAGAAAATGTATGGAGTCCATTATTGTTATTATATCATTGACCAGCCACGATTAAAATTCTCAAATCCCTTCCATATGAAACTAATTTAATAAAATCGATCTTGGTAATGTAATTGCACAATTTTTCCTCTCGATTACACGGAATTGATTAATATGACAAATTCGTCGCGAGAACTAATTGGAAACTGTTCGAACCACGCAAGAAGTTGACTAACTATTTAATTGACGGTAACGCGAAAGTTTCACCTTTCAGATAACTCCATTTCGAGTTACGAGAGGTACTTGGGCGGGATTCAGCACGGTCGATTAAAATCCGACTCCGCGGTCGACGATAAATCGCAGAAGCAGAGCAGCCAGATCGCGAAAGAACTATCGGACTTGGTGATTTATCTGCAAGCGATCAAATTCCGCGGACTGAATACGACGCCGGGTACGGGCACTGTCGGGAAAGTACGGTATCAGCCGCACACGGGGCCGGTTCAAAGGCACAGTATCGCTGGCATAGGCGCGACCAGCATCGGTGCCGCTTCCGGGTCGCCGCAATCTTTGTCAACGTCCGCCTCGCTCGCTAGCGGCGGGAGCAATATTGAAAATCTCTTCAGGTTAGTCTCGAACTGTTGGTATTCTACTTTTGAACGATTTTTTATATCTTGCTTTCTTACTATATTAAAATAACAAAATAACATAAATTAAGGAATATGAC